GAGTTTCTTTTCTAATACAGTCAAGGATCACAGGATGCAATTATTAAGTTTGGATTCATCTGTGCAATCATGCAAGAGTCAGTGTATTAAGATAAATTCTTTTCTGTATAAAAAGTGGAATGAAAGTGAATTTTGGTTTATTCAACCCTTCTTTGCATTCTACATGTGCAACAAATTAAGGGTGTTACCTACCTTTTTTCAAAACTTCAAAGACCACTCTATATTAATACTTCTCCCTTGAAATGCTCACAAGAAAGTGTCTTTTACAAAAGCCAAATGTTCAAAGGAATATATTGTAGAAAATAAGTGGGAAAGGGACCAAGTGTTCTCCGGATTAATATATAATTACTTTTTTCAGAGTTGTGCGTGTCATGATGCTTAGCAGTTTCCCTACTCTCCTAATGGCTCTAAAGACATGCATATTTACCTGGGAGTAAGTCTTATTGAACTAAATGGGACTTATTTCTGCAAAGACATGCATAAGATTGCATTGTAAATTATCTTTCCTACTTCGATCATTGCCACAGTTTAAGAAATTTTCAATAAAATACATACAAACCACTTGGGATGTTTTACTGTTTAAAAAGTGGTTTGTAAGGTTTGGAAATACTGTAAATAAGCAAAAATGCAAAGTCACCACCTAGTATCTCTTTTCAAAAAGAGCCAACATACTATTAAAATATTTGTTTCTATAGATAACCTCCAAGCCAGTCAGTTTCAACCATATTTTTAAAGATGGGTTGAAACAAGGGAAACTCAGATTCAGGAGTATTTTGTTATACCTATTTTAAACCTTTTAACAGCACTCAAGAAGGCTGCTGTTTAAACTATTTTAATCTGACAGTATTACCATGCCAAGAAAACTCCCTGGACAAAGACAACAGGCATATAAAAGTTATGACGCTGGAAGACAGGAGTGCCTGGCATGCTCTGGTCCGTGGGGTCACAAAGAGCCAGACACGACTAAAAGACTAAACAACAACAATTACCATGCCTCCTCATTTCTCTGCCCATACCAGATGTAGGGACATAGGGATCTCTCTTGGCTCATCCACACTCACTCGTGGAGGAAGGGGCTGTGGAGGGTGCGGTCCACCCCAGGTGTCATCCCTGAGGGGGGTGACATTGCCGCCCCGCCCCCCTGGGACACTCGCCCCACCCCTGGGTGGACAGCTAGCTCCGCCTCTATCCATGTCCTGTGGTTTATTCAGTTTGGTCTGTGACTTCTAAGCATGGGTCCAATAGGTTTTTACTTTTGTCCTGCCAGTTTTCCTGGGGAAAACATTGAATGGGGAAAATATCAATCTGCAGAAAAGCTTATTGACATTTGGTTTGATGCAGCAGTTAGCAGTGGGTTTTCCTGGAGAAAGCAGCAGGGGGGACAGGGACGGCAGAAAAACCTCTCGGACCCGTGCCAAATGGAAACGTGGATCAGAATAACATAAGCAATATTATATTGTCTAGAGCACTTCTTCTGTTTAATTCACTATATTCTGGTGTTAATTGCTAGAGCATCTCTTTATTGAAAGAGAATAAAGGGTGTTTTGGGGTATAATAAACTTTTAGTGTATACAGTAGCACTAAACAAAAGGACAAAAAGCGATGGAAAACAGACTCAGCACTGATTAATACTGCAATGAATACATTGCGTAGTGCCGTTAGAGGTAACTGTGGGTTTCTTGGCTAGATTATTATATAAATACAGTTCAGTTAACAAGCAGAGGAAGAGAAAGGTAGATGAAAAATGGGAAAGATTTAATAAGAGAGCTTTGAATAAGGATTTTTAAGTGAAACTAAATTTTGTTATATGCAAAAGCTTGAGATGTTCTCTCGATCTGCAATACTTTTTGTATCAAGCATGCCAGTGCAGTCTTTTGATTCTAATATGAAACTACAGTAAGGATCATTGCACTAATGCATGAAGATTTGTGATAATGTTGCAGAAATTTTACTATCAAAACTGAACTGCAGTGTAATGACTTTTGTTATCATGGTTTCTAATAACTATTCAGCATGAATTGACCCTACATATGTTCTGCTGCAATACTATGGCCACCACTCTGAAAAGGCTGAAGAGAAGTCTTTGAGCAAAAGAAAATTCATATGAAATGTGTGCCATACAATATTAGTATCCCTGTAATCATTACAACCAAGACTAGAATTGGAATATTTTCTTCACTATTTCTTGTCTCACCATTCCAGCTGCCTTTCTCTTTGTTCATAGCCTGATCTTTGTCTTCCCTCCTCCAACTGCACCCCCTAGCTCATATCCTTTCATCTACTTGTTTTTCTACAATGGCTGCTTTATACACTATACCTGATCCTCTTTCTCTGTACTGGTATATGATGGTAGGAGGCGTGGACCATGCACAATAGAAAGCTGAATCATACACAATAAAATGGAGGGAGAGGTGACAAAGAGAAGCATTCCTGATGTAGCTTCAACAATGCTAATAAAGTCACAAAAGAGTTTCACAGTAGAGATGAGCTCCCATCCATCTAAAATGAGTATGTCAGCATTCAAATCTTGAGTCATACAAAATGAAATTGAAACCTAATTTTGATCATGTATTTTTTAAGGAAGACAACTCTGTGCATCTGGGAAAGGGTGAACATAGAGTGATTTTCTCCCTGAACATTCATGTCACTGTGATGTATATGTGCAGTAAGCAACTACAAAAATCATTACAGTGATACTCCCACAAAATTGATTTTCTGTTGCAGTTGTAAGTCACTTATTAGCAAAAATCTGAAGAAAAATACACCTTTTAATAGGAGCAGTATATAACCAGTTTCATTTCTTGTTCTACTGTAATTAGTACAAATATTATTTATGTGCTGATTTTGTGTGTATAATTACATTATCAAAAGAATTTTTCAGCTACCTTTGTAATTATCCAATTTGGATCCTTAAATAGCCATGCTTTCCTGGTTGATGTACCTTCTGGTGCATAAGAAGAGTGCACACAAAGACAGTACAAATTTCCTTAAGATTTTTAGTAGTGCAGTTCTTCATATTTTTTCCAAAACCAGTCAAGATAAAGCACATTAATATAGAGTTATAGACTACGCACCTTGTGATACATACACCAGCCTCTTCCAATTATCCTATACAGTTGCACACAGAAAGGATAATTTTAAACAACCTCCCACTTTAGATTTTTAAATTGTTTTATACCTCTGGCCTGTTACATCTTTAGTTTCTTTCCTGATCAATTTTCATTGATTTTTCACAGTTATGCAGTGGTGATAGTCACATGCAATTTGATCTTATTAAAGGCTGTGACAGCCCTTTGGCATCTTGGACCCATTATGAACACCAATCCTAACAAATCAAAGCATGTCTTTATATGGTGCTTGAGCCAGAGGGCTCATCCTGCAAAAAGCAAGTGTCTGCATGTGTACAGTGAAGCTTCTGACCTTTCATTTTCCAACAGCATCTCAAGCAGCATCACAGATGGCTTTTGAGACACCGCAAGCACACAAGCTCAAGTTCTAATAAATGTATGGGTTGCTGTTACGAAATGAAAGTCAGAAGTTCCACTGCATGTGTAGCCCATCATGTGGCCTCTTGGAATGCTGCAATGATGGCCAACAAGTCAAGTTTATAATGGGAATTTTCAGGAAAAAAATAATTCCAAGCAAATTACCTTGCATAATAATTTCACTTTTTAACAGGAGAAAGTTGCGATCATTCTTTTCCAGAAAGAACTTCCCTCGTTGATCTACTTAATACAGAGTTATACAAACATTTCAGTGTAATGAGATGTAGGCTATTAGGTGAGTGGGATATTATGAATCCTCAGCAAAGCAGTGCTTGATGGGTTCCTCACCCGGTATTTGAAATTCTTGTGGTGTTGAACTGAGTATGATTTCAGTGTATAGCACAGTAATCAGAGGACCATTTCATCACAAATCAGCACTCGTCCTGATTACCATACTTCACCTGACTGTGGACTGAACCATATTGTTTGACAATATATCTGAGGCTATGAAGCTGGGTCACAGAATCATAGAATCTTAGAGTTCGAAGGGACCCAATGGTCATCTAGTCCAACCCCCTCCAATGCAGGAATCTCAGCTAAAGCATCCATGACAGATGGCCATCCAACATTGAACAGCTGTGAAACAGTGGGGGAAGGGTGCCCCCCCCAGTAGTACAGTGGTACCTCGGGTTAAGAACTTAATTCATTCTGGAGGTCCATTCTTAACCTGAAACTGTGCTTAACCTGAAGTACTACTTTAGCTAATGGGGTCTCTCGCTGCTGCTGCTGCTACGCCACTGCTGCACGATTTCTGTTCTCATCCTGAAGCAAAGTTCTTAACCCGAGGTACTATTTCTGGGTTAGCGAAGTCTGTAACCTGAGGCATCTGTAACCCAAGGTACCACTTTAGAGGAGCAATGAATGGGAGCAGGTAGTTTAAGCTTTCTTTTGTCCTCTTTTTCATCTCTTACTACCTTTCTACCTGAAACCCTGCTTCCAGCCCACTTTTTCCTATGGTGCAGAAAGCACTAGTAACTCACTATTGCTGATTATCTGAGAAATGCACAAAGCCTTAGCTGCTGCACCAGGCTAGGGAATCCACGCATTTGCATGCATGAATCTTCATCCAGGAAGGGATATGAATGTAGAAGAATTTTCTGCACTTACTAGTTTTCGCTTTTTGTATGGCTCTCTGTTAGAGCAGGTCATTTGCCTTGCATTAAACAAAAGGCAACTTCTATAGAAACATTAAAGCAGAGCATGATCTACGCAAAAAGGCATGCAAACAACAAACGGAATGAATGATAAGCTTTTGAAGATCCTCAATAGAAAAATACTTTTGTTAAAGTAAAGAAGTAAAAATGTACAGGATGGAAAATATAAAGAAGGAAGACATGGAAGACATCACATAGGATGTTCCAGGAACTTAACAACTTATTTGAAAACATTATTAAACAGTACTAATTAGCAAATAGAAAATAAGCAATTAAGAAACCAAACCCATTATTATCATACCTGCTGCTGGTCTCTTAATCTTGATTCAGCTCTAACTTTATGATCATAGAAGTCTGCAAGTTCATTTTTGTCATTTAGATAGCATAACTGAAGCATCTGATATTCTTGCGCTAAACGCAGATTTTCATCCTCTGAAAACTCCAGAGATTTCTAAAGGGAGACATTTTTTATTAACATTACAAACCATTTATAAAGCTATGATTTCATTCCAAAACTTCTCAATAAGATTCATTTTTACTAGAGTTGTATTCTGCTGCACTGTACAGAATACTGCATATGCTTTGTATGCCTAAGGACTAATAATAATAATAATAATAATAATAATGTGCAAAGAAATTACTGTACAATGAGTGAAAGGAAAACAGTTCTTATATGTTCCTTTTCTGAATTAAAAAAATGCAGTGAAGCAATTGGCTAAGCTGCACATGAATGGCCTGATTCAGCAAGGGAGATTTGTGTGTGCAGCCATTATAGATGTGCATCACGATACGCATCTGGTGTTCACTGATATTAATGGATGTGTCTGATACATTCCCACCCAGGAATGCACATGCCTACCCAGGGCCACTAGACGCATACAATATAGTGCAGTAAAGGGATTAATTGCATCTGCAACAATGTAGAAAAGGGCTGTAGGAATGTATCTCTTTCCCCAAATACATGTGGCAGAATGCCACCACCTGCGGTGACTACAAAGAAGCATGTGTACATCCTCAGAAATGACACTGTAGTTTGTCAGCTGCTTTCCCAAAGGATGGCATGCCACTCCTTATATTCTTATAAGAATATATGCATTTCAGTATTATATAACAATATTCTTGTATTAGTTCTCTCAGTACATGGGATTTCCAAATTAATCAAATTTAGCTAATGGGAATGTACTAAGGTTTGTTTACATGACTAAATATAGGCTGAAAAGGAATTTGGGAGACTAGATTGAGATTTCTGTGAGTCTGTACTGTCTGTGTGCTTTTTCTGCAAAACTCCACTTCTACTATCCCTACCAACAGAAAACGACCCTCTAAATGCTGACCTGGATTTCATGTAGAGAGGCTAAAAGGAGGCAAACAATTAATATAATTAAATAACTTCTTTTTCTTTTTCCTAATACACAATTGACATGGATAAGTGAGTTCTTCAGTACAGCAGTCTTAAGAAGCTTAGACAGAAAATTCTATCTTTGATTCACTTCCCTTCTCTGGAAGGAGTAATATTTGAGGAAGATAGATATTTGGTGATGAACTTGCATTCACACAGAAAAGTAGCATGTCAGGAAGGAAGGTGAAGTAATTTTTTTCTCTCCTTGTCATTTTGTTTAGTTTGTTTTATCTGTATGAGCTGCAAATTACAGTCCATAGTAGTGCAGCCCAGACAGAGGTTACCCCCCCCTCAATTTCTTTACTTTTTTGTTTTGTTTCTTTGGTAAGCCATGCCAGAGGGTGGCCATTCATACTGAGACTCAGACACCAGGGTAAAAGAGTTTAGTCTTTCTCTCCTTGCCATTTTACACATGTAAATTGCAATGGGACAAATAGCTTTGAGGGGGAAATGGCCTAGAGGAAAAGAGTTAATCCACCACTGCATCCAGTACTGCAATTACCATTTGAATCTCAACTGTATATAAGCTTCTTACAAAAATGTAAAAGATTGGATGTCTTATCATGGATCTCATCTACTTGACTCTTAAATATGGCAATAAAAAGAATGCAAAAATATCAGGGAAAGTTGATTCTCTCTCTGCAAGAATAATATAAGGTAATGGTAAAGGGACCCCTGACCATTAGGTCCAGTCGTGACCGACTCTGGGGTTGCGGCACTCATCTCACTTTATTGGCCAAGGGAGCCGGCATACAGCTTCCGGGTCATGTGGCCAGCATGACTAAGCTGCTTCTGGCGAACCAGAGCAGCTCACGGAAACACCGTTTACCTTCCCGCCAGAGCGGTACCTATTTATCTACTTGCACTTTGACGTGCTTTCAAACTGCTAGGTTGGCAGGAAAGAATAATATAGGACACAACATTTTTTATAGCAATCTCACTTTTACTGAAGTCCTGATGGTTTACATTATAATGGTGACATCTAGCACAAGCAATTAACATTTATATAGTAATCACAGTATTAGAAAATCAGTTAACTATTAAGAATGTTGGGGAGATGGTATTTATATATAAAGAGTAAAAGGTCAACATTTTCATTGCAAACGGGCTAGGGAAATGAGGTTCTCACAATGCTTTGAGAACAAAAGAAATGAAGACTGAAGCATACAGTTACCCAAAAGTTAAAGTTAAAGGTAAAGGTACCCCTGCCCGTACGGGCCAGTCTTGACAGACTCTAGGGTTGTGCGCCCATCTCACTCAAGAGGCCGGGGGCCAGCGCTGTCCGGAGACACTTCCGGGTCATGTGGCCAGTGTGACATCGCTGCTCTGGCGAGCCAGAGCCGCACACGGAAACGCCGTTTACCTTCCCGCCAGTAAGCGGTCCCTATTTATCTACTTGCACCCGGAGGTGCTTTCGAACTGCTAGGTTGGCAGGCGCTGGGACCGAACAATGGGAGCGCACCCTGCCGCGGGGATTCGAACCGCCGACCTTTCGATCGGCAAGCCCTAGGCGCTGAGGCTTTTACCCACAGTGCCACCCGCGTCCCTTACCCAAAAGTTAGAAAACCTTTATCTGAAAGTTGCCACTATCTTTAGCTCTGTTTTAGAAATTCATGGAGAAAAGGAGGCTTTCAAAGGTGCATCAGGAAAGCCTTCCAAGAAACTTAGGTTTCACTAGGGAGTAAGCTCCAATGAATGTAGTGGGGCCAAAAAAAATATTCATAAGGTTGCACTCTTAAATTCATGGCAATATATAAGGGAAAATAACCTAGAAAAGCCCACAGAATTTGCTCTTTATCAGCTTATTTGGCAACAAATGTGTAGTTGTGCTAATTTGTTGAGTGCAATGGAGGTATCTTTTCTCAAGGAACAAATTGTACTTGGGAAATATTGCATGGTCCCTGCATTCCAATCTCAGTTTGATGCATCCTTTCCTCTGTTAGTAGGGTCACTGTAGTCTGGAGAGCTGTGCAGAATGTTGGTAGTACAAATGTCACTACCAGCTTTTGGATAATGGCTATGTCTTCACTGGTGCTGTATGACAAAACTCTATCACAGAGTTCCCTGGGGAGAGGGATTGATTGTTAAACCACTCTGTGAGGGGGAAAGGGGTCTCCAAACAACTTTCGACACCTTTGACAAACTGCAGTTCCCAGGATTCTTTGGGTGAAGTAATGACTGCTTAAAGTGCTATGATACTGCTTTCTGTGTAATGAAATACTAAAAGGGAGAAAACGCACTGCATTGGGAAGGGAACATAGCTCAGTAGTAGAGCACCTATTTTGCATGGAGAAGGTGCCAGGGTCAGACACTGACACATGCAGCTAAAACAATTGGGTAGTAGGTAGTGAGAAGGATGGAGTTCTTGGGAGGCTGGGTAGCTGTTGTCAGTCAGAGTTGGCGATACTGGGATAGATGGAGAATTGTTAAGACACCTACCTAACAACCATGAAATGACATATATTTGAAGCAAAAGTATCACGTCCTCTACTCCACATTCACACAACACAGAAAGGAACAAGTCTGTACAAGCTGTCACTGCCATTGATTGTCAGTACACCTGCTGGCCATGCCCCCTTTTATCTGTGTGTTCAGCATTAGTTTGAAATCTTCCATGTGATCAGGAACTGTGAGAAAGTCAGGGTTCTTGCACATGTGGAAGAGCTGTACGTACATTTCACACTCATGTAGAACATATGGACATGTGTGTGTTATATACTTTTAAACCATGAACTGCTCCAGGGTGCAATAGTCATCCATGCAAAAGGAAAGTGATGTGCAAGACCACGGAATCTTGTCCTATGGAAATTTGGAATGGTACTCTAAATTCACTGCAGCTGCACATTGCATGGGGCAGAATGGTAGTGGGGGCAAACTGTTCTTCAGGGACGGCTGCTCTCCATTAATGATCTATTTACTTAGTAACTCCACCATCACAGAAACCTGAACAGAATGTTGGTTTATGGGAGCTCTGTTGGTTCTGTGATAGTTTATAATGAGGGCTCCAAAAAGCTGCGAATGGCAGGCAGGGAGGGTACCGCTTGTGCAGTTTTACGTGGGTGTGTCAGCTTTTATTGGACATTACCACAGTTGCTTCTCCTTTCCTCAAGCAAGGAAGCAAACCACAGAACAACAACCTTGGCATTTTGTCCAGACCAGCATCTGTGGTTGACTTCTCTGAAAACCACTATCTGAAGTCAAAATTTGTTCTTGGGTTTCTGTTTGTGGTTTGTTTGGAGAAATAAGCCATAAATGTTGCTTCAGATGTAACACTAAGATAACCACTCAGTGTTTTTCCTCTCCACTTAGTGTAAGAAGGAGCAAAGTGGGAGTACTTCAACTGCATGCACTAGCAGACATCTTATGCAGAACCTAATTTAACTAACTATGGTTATTTATTTTAAATATGTATAACCCACCATTCATCACAATCATTTCAGAGTGAGGTACACCTTTAGCACCTATAACAATCTATAGTAACAGCAAGAAATAGTTAAAAGCAGTGAATGTTAAACCAACAGAATAGTATCTACTTTATTCGCAAATGCTTGAGTAAATAGACCCGTTTTAAACTGGTGCAGAAATGGAAGTCAGCACCAGTTTGGGTTAGTGGCTTTGCGTTATGTGTGCATAAGGCCAGTTAGCTGTAGTGGAACAATTTTTCTTTAAAAAAAAATTCCATAGGGGTTCTGGAACAAACTGCTTATGGGAGAGAAGCAGCTTTCCAAACTCCAGCTAAAGAGTTACAGAATAAAAATTATTTGACTTTAGGATTGTAATTATTGCTGTGATTAATAAATGTTATAATCTTAGAAGAGCAATTCACTACACATTCAAAAATACATTTTCTAGAAAACTGTTTTCTAGTTTTAATGAATACTGTGACAAATAATTAACTTCCTTTTCTACAACCCCCCCCCCAAAAAAACCCCACTTTGTAGGATCATTTGTCCACATAAGCTTCCAGAATACCAAGGCTTGTTAGAGTTCGAAGGATTGCTATCCTTGTAGTTTTCATTTTAAAAAGTGGTATAAAACATTGTAGTAATTAG